GGCAAAACCAATCAAAACAATGCTGGTACAGATATGTAATCTATATATTAGTCTGTTCATTTATTCGATTAAATTCACGACTGATATGGAGGTGAATAACTATAAATTTTTCAGTCTTGACCATCACTAGAATTAATAATAAACATGATGTTGAAATTTTCCACAAACCATCTATCAAGGACATCATTATACACAATTTATCTATACATTTATATAAGCTTAAAGTAGCAGCATTCAATAGTACGATTCACATACTAGGTATTGAATATTCCACTTTCAGAAAGCAATTTTCAAAGAGAACTGATTTTCATAAAACTAATTGCTGTTAACAATGGTAACGAGGATATTGTTACGTTTTTCCCCGTGAGTTGACCAATAATTGACTACACTGAATAATCGAACTTAACTTTATTTTACTTTAAATACAACAAATACTTCAATTAAAACTTCAACTATTATTCGAATGTCTATCGCCTTACTAGATCGCTTCGCGTACCGCACTGTAACTTCCACTTGACTGTATCGTGGCTAGCGTTTATATATCGTAATCGAATGCGCTGGAAATTTCGCCGGAATTCCATCCATTATTCTCGCTACATATAGAGCGGCAGCGAACCTCGTACATTCCCGCGCTCTTAGTTACGTCACGATTGGTTTATGGCTACCAGTTGCGGCCGGCATTATTTCCTTCAGGGTATGATTTACAGCAATATCATTGACCCAATTATTTCTTAAAAATTACAGAAACATTCTCTGCTGGACGAGGTCTATCCAGTTTCAAAGAATGATATAACCAATATGTAACTCTAAATTACTTTAGTGATTCTACTAATAATATGGCTCGTTTTTTTTTTATTTCGAAAACAAAGAGTTGGCCGTAGTCTACAGAACAATTATAATTTGAGTAAATTTATTAGAAACAATAAAGATAAAACTCCAGTGTCTGATAGATCGACAATTTGCAAGTTGACTTGTGGTTCTTGTCGAAAATTTTATATTGGACAAACCGGAAACACTTTTTCCAAAAGAAGTAGTTTTTTGAATTCGAAAACCAATTCAACATTTGTGAACCATCTTTTGACAGAGGCGCGCGAGTTCAATAACGATTATGATTTATTGCATTTGGAAGAGTAAGGTTCAAAACTTAACCTTTTGGAATGTTTAGAAATCAATGGATTTAAAATTTCAGGATTAGCAAGCCGGTATGATTTTGAGATTCGAGAGTAGATAGGGCATCATTCCACGAAGAACTTCAATAATTAAAACAACCATCTTGACAGAGTGGTCTAGATAGAGTCTGCGGAGTTCGAAGAGAAAATCTGGATACTTTATCCGTTTTTCCTCCTCTTTTCGGACGATATTCATCTCGCCAGAAGCTGAAAACTCCACGACAAATATCGTCTTTCTCTGGTGGTCGAGAAGGACTACATCAGGATTATTATGGGCCTTAGGGTGGGGAATGAATAGTTCCAATAAATTCGGCACTTCCCGTTCCTCATAACGGATTCAATATTATTGTTGTTATTATCATTATTATTATTATCATCGTAGTTTTATGGGAGATAAGATATACTTAGCAGTTATAGATATTGAGATTATAATGAAAAGAGAAGAAAGTTGAAGGAATGTGTGACTGTCCTAATAAGAAAATTCATGGTAGAGATAAGATAAACTCTTCATAGATGAGAGACCGTGTTTTTCATTTCAAAGATTGACAAATACTTTATTGGACATTCTGCTTGAAAGTAAAATCTGTTTTTGAGTTCATTTTGAGAGGAAAACAATGAGTTATAGTTATTCTTGTTAAGTACTCACTCACTATTTCATTGTTAGCGAATAGAATATAATTTTTTCACTAATTTCATATTGTTTCCTCACGCAGGCATTATTTCCGGTAGCCACTGAAATTAAACAGAGCAAAATTCGGGCTGGTATGCCATGGTCGATTAGAACCTGAGGTACTTCACGTGTGGTAGTTCAGATTTCATTCGACAACGACTTACCAGCCTGGATTTTGTTCTCTTCAATTGTAACTCCTGCCGCGAAAGCCTATGTTCATACATACTCCCGATTTTTTTTGTTCCATGAAAAACTAAAAATTTTCAAAATAGTTCACAATATTGTAAAAGTATTTTTATTGTAGTCGTCACTCCCTCCGAACCAATTTGGATCCACTCACTATTTGTATTAACTGGAATTTCTGGAACATTCCTTGGGTTTCCAACAATATATATTTGGTCTGGAGAACTATTTCCGACGTCAATTCGAAATAGCGGCATGGGTATATGTTCCATGTCAGGAAGAGTAGGGTCGATGATAGCACCATTCGTAGCTGATATACAGTCCGGAAAAGGCTGGATGTCCCCTTTTATTTTCGGTGTAGTACCGTTAATTGGAGCTGCTCTTTGTTATTTTCTGCCAGAAACCCTAAATTGTCAATTGCCGAAAAGTATCGAAGACGTGGAAAATTTGGAAATGGCCAGGAAGAAGGCAAGAAGGTGATAAGAATGTGTTCCACTGATTAATGATCAAACTTTAAAGATTCTCGAGACTACGTAGTTTTATATATGTTACACAATGTATTTTTGTAAATATAAATTATATTTTTTATACCTGCTACCATTAATTTGTCTTCCTCTAATAACCGATATACGAAACGTTTTACATCCCTAGGAAGAGGTAAACGTTAGTACTCTATTTTTCGTGTATTCACTATTATATTACCAGGTGACCAATTCCAAACAAGCATTGGTCCCACACATTGAAACTGTAATACTATTTTCGACGTGAGTTTCATCAGACAAGTGGGCGTCAAGCATCAGGATAATTCCTAAAATAAATATTAGCGGGAAATGCTCGTTGAATTTTCTGCCCCATAAGAAAGTAAGCAGTGTTTTTATTCTGTGGCCGTTGTTTAAACTTTTCTGGTCTCCGAAGTCAGATATGAGCACCGTGTTTTATGAAACAAATTTTGAAAGCTTGTTTAGCCTGACCAATATACCTTTTACCACAAATTACACAGATTATTTCATGTATCCCCGACTTTCTATATCTTTTCCATTATATTGATGTATTTAGGGTTACCTTTGCCACTTGAAGTGAACAAGCAGTTTTAAAAGTTATTTTCCATTCGATCTATTCATTAGCTAATATTTGAAAAGTCGACGATGTTCCCTATATTTACATTTCCTAATGAACTCCTTCCTCAGTAAAAATGAGAAATGTCTACCAATGAAGCTACGGTGTCAGCGAAACGCGTCTAGAAAAAAAAATGTTTGTGAAATTTGTTTATTCATCATCATGAAGGTGTGCAATATATGAAATGTATGGCTTGACAGTAATGATCTCAATGAATGGAATAATCTTAGTAAATTATCTCGTTTGTTGAGGTAGTTGGAATGTTCTTCAATTTCAATAGCTTCGCGTCTCATAGTGGTCTGGAGACTTTTGGTAACATAAGAGTTTGAAGATTGGACAAAAGAAGAAAAAATTGTATTCATAGAAACACTATCGTCAAGTGGTTCGAACAAATCGAGAATATCAGGGCCGGATCTTGAGATATCATAAGAAAAGTAAATTTTGTCCTTTTGATTTTTCTTTTTTTTTCTACGTTATTTCAAAAATTATCAAAAAAAATTATGGGCATTTTTTATTCGACAGTTAATTTTCCTCAATTTGACGTAATCATATTTCGAATCCAATCAGATTCGTACTCTCTGAGGCATCTCAACGCCATTTTTTTCAATTCGGGCCTGCATATTTTATGACACTTTTCGAAATAACTTTTTGCGCTGAATCCATCGATATATCATACAATGTGATTCAAAGTTGATTTTCAAGTGATTTTGAACCATATCCAAATTTCTTTGATTCGGATCTATATTGAATTTACTTTTGGTGACATGTAATACTACATTTCGATAAGAAAATCAACTCACTCATCTTGAACTGTATGGAACATATTGTTACGTTTTTACCCGTGGGTTGACCAATAATTGACTACACTGAATAATCAAACTTAACTTTATTTCACTTTAAATATAACAAACACTTCAACTAAAACTTCAACTATTATTTGAATCTCTATCGCCTTACTAGATCACTTCGCGTACCGCACTGTATCGTCCACTTGACTGTCTCGATATCCTCATAATAAACCGCATCATATGTTCAAAGATAAACGATATTGATGTCTAACTTCGTGAATTGAGTGAGGATTTTCTGTGGCATAAAAATGTTTGTTCCTTCGATTAAACATGCCAGAATTTGTGAAAGTCGTTTGGTCTCCCCAAATAAAATTGTGCGCAAAATTGTTGTTATTCCACACTTTCCGTTGAAACCAATTACACAATTGCAATTTTTTTTCAGGATCATTACGATATAGTTTTTGCACGGCTTGGTATCTGTTATCATGTTATCCGTGTCTCTTGACTATTTTATCAACAGCACTTTTTGATAAATCGCATTCAATGGCCATAGTTGTCGATCCTATTCCTGGATTCATTCGAATTTGGGTTAGAACATTGATGCCATTTATAGGCACGTTACATCTTACATAAGGAAATATAGGTTTAATGAATGAATTATGTGCAAGTATCGTTTTAGATAAACGGCGAAACATTGTATTATTTGGATTCGTTCTTTCAGGATATAATTAATTCAGCATACCTTTGTTGTGCTTTGAACGAATTCACCTATCTAGTTTTATGTACAGTCCGTCAGAGTTGGGTAGTATCCGAATACTTTGTATTCGGATACAGTATCCGGATACTTATATATATTCGAAAGCTGTATTCGGGTATTTTTCAAATTTTGTATTCAGTATCCGTATCCGTGGCCAAATTTGTAAGTATCCGAATACCGAATACATTTTTCGATCTTCAGATACTTTTAAATTATTCGATGAATGAGAACTAGACCAAACAGCTCCATTTTATGTAGGCGTATCTTGTCGCATTTTGTCTGGCATCTTCGAAAACGGTGAAATACAATTTTAGCACTTTGCCACCTCGAAAAATGAGTTATTAGAGTGCCTCATATATCAAAAATGTGCAGTAGACCCCACTTGGGGCTTGTTTTCTTCCGTTTCCGGGGTTGGGACACCCAAACTCGAAGTTCAGCATCCTCGAAAACGGGGTGAGGTAAGGCGGTAAAATCTTTTACCGCCTTACTATCTTTCTGCATTTTTTCAATAAAGAAATTTAATATTGCTATGTGTTAACTTGAACTACATATCGAACGATGAATGCGTTTATCCAGTTTACGGTCGGGATTCAGCATCTAGCGTCTAGCGGTATGTTTTTTACAGGAAAAATCCTGCAAAATCTTGTCTGCTGCAAGGATCACGAACTTGTGGTAGTTCCATTTAGCTCAGTTATAATTGAGTTGTCATAGATGAGAGTCGTGCTCAGTTATAGAAAAAATCCAATGAACCAAAAAGCAATGAAATTTTAATTAAAAATTTAGGGCATACACTGAGTACTCCGGGGGCAACCAGATGGAACTCCGTTTATAATGCAGTTGCGCAGATTTTGCAAGTAAAAGCGAAACTTCCAATTCTGCTACAAAGTTTATCTTTAGAACTTTTTAAGGAAACTGAACTATTGTATCTGGAAGAATACTGCTTCTGGGGCTTTAACGTTAGATTTGTTACAAGGTGAAGACAATGTATATTTTGGATACTTGTTGCCCAGTCTAATTTCTTTAATTAACAAGTATGAAAAACTCATTGCCCAAACCCAAAATAAATTGAAATATGGAGGAGAACATTTAGCAAAAATGTGCATAAAAAGTTTAAATACTCGTTTTGATAAAATTTTAAATTTGGAATGGGAAGATCCAATTATAGCAGCAGTTCTGCTTCCCAAATTTAAA